ATTTTTCACATTAACATCACTATTTAATTAGTTTTTAAATTAAAAAAAATAAAAATTAGTATCATTAAATAAAAAAATTAAAAATTAATATTTTTATTTAAAAATTAACAAATTTAACATTCTTAAATATAAAAAATTATAAAATTAATATCTTTATTTACATAATTTTTCTATAACCCTTTTTTAAATTTCTCTTTACCTAGCATAAAGTTTAAACCTCAAGTTTTAAATTTAAAATTTTTATTTTTTTTATTTTAATTGTACTATAAGATCCCTCATTTTTAATTAAAATAAATTATTATTAAATTATTTAAAAAATTAATTGCCCTGGCATTGCACTCATCTTTGCTACAATTTAAATAAATGCTAATTTGTCTACAGTGACATGCTTTATTCTCCTCTTTTTTTCTCAGCAATTCTTCTTCAAGTCTTTAGTTATTGGGGTTAAAGCCAACTGTAGTCCTCGTACTTTGTGAAAATGTTCATTACCATCCCTCTACTAAGGAAATATTCAATGTCATCCCTCTATTTTTCTTACACCATAAATGTCATCCCTTTGCTATCCTTTTTTTGTCCAATGTCATCCTTAACTGGATACCATCCATTTTGCTGTTAACTTTGACTGTTTAATTGCCTAACGGTCAAATATTCAACTTTTATTTATGAATTTTTCTAAAAGCACATATTAATGATATTTTTTTAATAAATTTGTATTAGAAAATATAAAAGTAAACATTAATTTTAGTGTTATTGTCACATAAATAAATTTAATTAGGCAGTTGATAAATTAAATATTATTTTTTATTTTTTTAAAACTTTTAACCAATACCCTAAAAATACAAATTAGAATAACCCTTAAGACACAAATTAGAATAACCATCTGTTTATTATTTTTTTTATCCACCTAGTGAGACTAGTGGGATCAATTTCTTTATTTTTTTTTTTTGGTTTTGTATTATTCTTTCTGGCTTTAGCACCTAAATTAACAGAATCTGTTAATTCTATGTTAAAATTGAAATAAAATAGTTATAGGATTAATCAGTAAAAATTAAAAATGTAACAATTTAATTCTAAAAGTTCAAAAATTATAAAAATTAGTAAACTAAAAAAAAATTAATAGATGACTTTTTCACATATACTAAAATAGTGTTAGATATTTATAGTCAAATTGAGCGATTAGCTTAATTTGGAGAAAGAATTTTGACTGAAATTAAGGAAAATTTTTTAATTGAATTAAGATAGAAAATTTAAAAGACCAAAAAAATATAACCAAGAAATTTTTTTTAATCTTAATTAGATTTCTTTAGTTAGATCGAGTTAATAATTCGATTTAATTATAGATATCTAACATTGTTCTCATATATGTGATAAAGTCAATTACTAATTATTTTTAAGTTATTAATTCTTTTATTTTTTAAAATTTTGGAATTAAAATGTTACATTTTTAATTTTTGATAATTGGTCTTATAAATATTTTTTTTTATTTTAATAGAGAGTTAACAAATTTTGTTAGTGGATAAAAAATTAATTAATAGAAGTTAACTTGTGCTATACATCTCGGGGTCAATCCAATCCAAATAATTTTCTATTGTATTGCTTTAATTAGTGACGAAAGAAAAATGTTCAAGTCTAGATGTTAGACAGTTTTGTGAAATTAATAAACAAAAGGTTTTTCTAATTTATGTTTTAAGAGTTATTTTAATTTGTATCTTTAAGATACTGATTAAAAGTTTAAAAAAATAAAAATTAATATTTAATTTATCAATTGTCTAATTAAATTTATTTATGTGACAATAACACTAAAATTAATGTTTACTTTTATATTTTTTATACAAATTTATTATAATAAAGTATCATTAATATGTGCTCTTAGAAAAGTTCATAAACAAAAGTTGAATATTTAACCATTAAGCAATTAACGGTCAAAGTTAATAGCAAAATGGATGGCATCCAATTAAGGATGACATTGAACAAAAAAAGGATAGTAGAGGGATGACATTTATGGTGTAAGAAAAGTAGAGGGATGAAATTAAACATTTCCTTAGTAGAGGGATGGTAATGAATATTTTTACAAAGTACGAGGACTATAGTTGGCTTTAACTCCTAGTTATTGCAACCAACAAATTTAACATTGGAAAAAGCAAGGATTTTGTTTGGGTAATTAAGGATGTACCACTGAGTATTTAAATGGGGAAGTTTCTTTAATTAACAGAAACTTCAATAGGTAAGTGTAAAATTTTCTTATTCCAGAAATCACCTCTATGTCTCAATATTAAGATGTCAATCCAATAGCATTCATATTAAGCTAAGTTCTAGCTATTTTGAGCTACTAAATACTATATCTTCCTTCTTCTCTATGTTGGCTCAGACATCACATTTGTCTTAACGAAGACAAGAGAAAAATTAGAACCATTAAAAATGGCAAAATAATTGGGATTTAACTAGTAAAGTAACAGAATTTATAAAAACACAAGTAAAGCAATGGGTTAGGTAGAGCAAGGAGAAAAACCAATATATACAGCAACAAATTAAACCTCAAATGCAATAATGATTAACTTAAAAGAAAAATCACAATGCAATACTCACCTACTAGACAATTCTATGTTGTGCAATACCACAAGGACGCTGCTTAACTTACAGTTTCAATAAGTATATGTATTCCATGTTCTTTCTTTGTTTAAAGGATATTATGAAGCAATAACCTTATCAATGACTAAATGCAAAAATTCGTAGTAATTGGATATAGAATATACCAATTGTAAATGAATGCTTCGAAACCATTGTTGCTCAAAAGTAGAAGAAAAAAACGAAACAATTAGGAATGACAAAACAAGAGTCATTTATATGGTAAAGTAAAACAGATTTTAGAATATGAGTAAAGCGAAGCAAAGTAATAGGCAGCTAAGTGAGTCAACGAAAAGGAATTTAGCTAATTTGAATACATATAATTAGGCTAGAAAGGCAGGGGCGAATCAACAAATGTGATTAAAAAAAAACTTCAACTTTTCAAAACTGCTATAATCTACACGCATCGTAAGTTACATTAAATTAAAACAAATATCATAGAAATCAAAAGTACTTATTCCATATTGGTGTTGTCCAAGCTTTAAGCCAGGCCAAAACCCTCTTAGCAACAGCTTCTTCATAACCATTACAAAACGCACACATACAAAAAATAATTCAATTGTTCATAATAAAACATAACAATTATAAAGTAATTTTGAACTTACAGATGTTTATACAGAAATTCATTCATAAGCTGATAGGCATAAAAAGAAGAATTGAGTTTCTTCTCGACTTCTAACTCCACAGCATCAGGGGTGTGGGTTTAGCTCCTCATGAACGTTTGGTCCAGGCTCATCGTTGAAATACAAATACGAACTTTTGGAGCACAGCCCAGACTCATCCGAAAGGATAAAAAGGAATAATTTCTGGAGAACGGCCCAGGCTTGTCGGAAGAGATTGAAAGGAAAATATTCCAGAGCACGGCCCAGGCTCATCTTTGAGATGGATTAAGAGTTTGAGACGGATTTCTGGAGTGAAGCCCAGGCTCATCTGATGGGGTGAATGGGAAGGATTTCTGCAGCACTCAAAAGAATTAATTCTCTGAGTCTTTTTCTTTTTTTTTTTTTTACTTTTTCAAGTAAATGGATTCTTTGAGTGTTGCACCATCAAAATGAACATTCCTTGAGTGTTAGTTTATTGCTAGTACCATTCTTTTCCTTCTTTACTTCTCTCTTCTTTAACTTTAAATCTCCAAGACCCACACACTGTGCTTTGCTCCGAGTCTCTCGCTTTTAGTACTTTTGTGAAGTTGACGATTTTTTTGATAAACCATAGCTATGGCTTTCGAAAATTTATAGTTATAGGTTACTGTATGTTATATCTTAATTGATTTTAATGGTAGATACAAGTTTTTTTTATATATATAGCTGCGTTAAGTTATTTTTCTAGATAAAGACATGTTTTGTCAACAGTTTATATAAATATGTAGATATATTTGGATATATATATATATAAGAGTAAATTGTAGGTATAAATACCTATACCTACAGAATTGTCAGTGTAGATACAAAATAGCACAGGCGTATGGCAAAGTTGCTATGGTGGACAAAGAATAATAAAAAAGAATTACCATTATAGATAAAGATTTACTAAGAAATACAAATATAAAGATAATATGAGAGAGTAAATATGAAATGGATGTAAAAAAGTAATGAAAATATAAAATAATATAAAAAAATATCAGTTTAAGAAAGAGAAATGAGGAGAGCAACAAGTACTAAGTTAAGCCAAAATTAAAATACATAATAATAACACAAGTGTATGATGATAAAATAAACTAGAGAATTGAAATGTAATTGATTGAAAGATATATAGGGAGATTCGATCTTTATGTACGAAATTGAAAAGAATCTAGCAAGCAAATAAATAATGATAGGAGATAATTAAAGAGGAGACGATAAAAGAGAGAATGAATAACATCAAACAATTTAATAACATAAAAAGATAGAATAGATAGGTATTTTTGATATATTTTCATAATCTATTAATATAGTAACAAATTATGAAAATTTGTCTTTATTTTTTAAAATTAAACTGATTAAATTTGTATATTTAAATCTTTTTCCACATCCACTGTTAAAATAATTTTTTTATGAATAAATACATTTAAAATGACTAATTATCAAAAAAAAACTAAGATATATTTATAGTTATAATTAATTATTATTATAAAAATTTATAGTTTAATAAAAATATAAACGAATCACATAAAGCGCGGATTGAAGCCTAGTTAGTATAGTAAGCATAAAAATAGGTTATGAAATGATAGATCATAATTGGTTTATTGATTTTAACTTTTCTTCTTGGTATTATTTTATAAATCTATCAAATTAATGTTGTGTATTCACTAACATTTTATTATTTTAGGTGCATTGTGCCTTTTATTTCATTGTAATTTTGAGTTCTAAACAAGTCAGTCTCCTAAGTAGTGAATTATTGATCATCTATAAATCCATGTAATGCAATTAGCTTTTAATTATAATTTTGTCAAATTGCTTAACTTATCCTATGAAACTCTTTACGTTTTACTGAATCTATTCTCTCTTAATTACTTTGTAATGGATTAATTCTTTGAGTGTTTACAATCCAAAGAAAGAAATATATTCTGTGGTTCTATTCTATTCTTTCATTGCTTTTTTGTGGTTTAAATATTTCTTCAAAACCCAGCCACATCATGCATAGCAGGCGCAACCTAAACCTTTGCTCTATACTGTCTCTCACTCTCAAGGGCTTCATCATTGAATTTGGTTGTAATCCTGTGTCCCAAATTTGTATTCCTTTGGTTGGGTTTGTTTTGATAATTTTTTCTTTTTTACTTCTACATTTATAATTATATTACATGTTTCTCTTTTCATTTCATATTTAAAACTAAGGAACACCTGCAATCTATATCTATACAGCAAGAATCCAAGTCCGGTTATCTCTTCCATATGGTAAGTATATTATAAGAAAGTTAATTCTTTGATTATTTGCTAAGATGCCAGTCCGACAATTTACATTTGGTGTTCATGCTTTCTACCTTACTGTAGTGTGTACCATTCTAGAGAAGATTGCTTGCCTGCTCAAGTCTCTGTTTATATATAGCTACTGCAAGGTGTAGAAATGAAATTATAATTATATACGCTTTTTTGTTATAGGGAAATGATTTATTTATTTATTTTATCAGCATAGGGAAATGATTTATAATATTGTATATACGTTTTGTGCTTTGACAATGTTGTAATGGCAATACGTAGTGATTCAAGTACTACTGCAATTGTTTCTTTTCTTATTGGATATACGTTTTGTGCTTTGACAATGTTGTGATGGCAATACGTAGTGATTCAAGTACTACTGCAAGTGCTTTGACAATTGGATAATTTACATTCAAGACTATCTATTAGCTCGAGATCTTCGGGCATCCTTAAATCTAGGGAAAATATTTGATTTGGTTTCTTCTTCGGACGATGTAGGAAATTGGAGGAAAAAGAATGGTGCAGCTCTACATGTAATTCATACTACATTGTCGGTAGAAATTTTTGTTCAAATAAAGAAATCAGTTCGGTAAAAGTTGTTTGGAATAAATTAGCCAAAATGGATCAAGAGAGGCAATCTAAATCGAAACCAGAAATTGGCGTGGGGGCATCGGATGGTAAGATTGATTTAAAAAGAATCCCAACTAAATTAATTATATCTTGATCGAAGTATAATTTGATTATAATGTCTTAATAGTATTGGCAGGGAAAAAGGATGAAATAACTGAAATAACTGAAATACTTCATTGTGAGGGGTGGGGTACAGGTAATTTTTATTGATTTGAACAGAATTTCAATAAAATTTATTATGAAGTATGAAGTACTTATAATTTTAATTAGTATCTTTATTATTCACAGGAGAAGAAGATGAGATGATTGAAGACTCTCACCTTGTGGACTTGAGAAAAAGGATTTGCGAAGGAGATTGGAATGCTGTTAAGCAGTTTTTTGACAGGCATCCACTAGATACAATAATATTATCAAACGAAGGCTACACTGCTCTTCATGTTGCAATACTGGTCGGGCAATATGAGATCGCCGAGGATTTGATAAAGATGATGTCGGGAATAGATCTGGAAAAAAGGACTGCGTGGTACAGTGATGGTCACACTGCTCTTACCTTGGTTGCAACGACGGGAAGAATAGGCTTGGCAAAATGCATGGTCCAAAAGAACAGCAATTTACTTATTCTTGCAAATGCTCTGGGCTATATTCCAGTAACTGCCGCATGTGCTGCGGGCCACAAGGACATGGCATACTACCTTTATCGTCGCACCCCACCCGAAGTGTTCCTATCATATTTTGGTAAATATGGATTGGATCTCATGAGGGCGGGCATAGATAACAAAATTTTAGGTAAGGAAAATGACTAAATAAAGTTATATATTTTGTTACATACCAATAATTGTTGTTATTTGTATCATTAAAGTTGATGATTTTCATTACTTGTACTATTAAAACTGACGATTTTTATTACACTAACAATTTTTTTTCGTTATATAATAGAATAGAGTATATGTATTATTGTTTTTTTAAATAATAATATAATCAAACTTTTTTAATTTTAAATGGTGTCTTGTGTGTTAGGGATCCAAGATGCACGAGAGGAGTTAGTGGCCCGGCCCACTGCCTCCACTAGCCACACTAGTAGCCGATATCTTAATCGGAAAATTTTTTAAATTAAATGTAACATTATTTAAAAATAAATCTCTAAAATTTGAATTTAAATTAAAGTTTTACTTGTTTGTGAATGTTTTTACACATATTTTTTTATAGTACCATGTTTAAAAATGTAAATTTACTATTTTTAGTTAATTTTAATTAAAATTTTATATATCTTGAGATGATGATAACAACAACAACAACAACAATCCAACAGTCCTAAAAGCCTTTAGTTTCTTAATTTTACAGTATGATTTTGCTTTCAATTGAGTACGTACTAATATGTTTTCCCTTACTGGATTGATCATAATTGACTTCTTGAAATATATTTTTACAATAGTGGAGTAGATAATGGGTAACTTTTTTCCTACTTACTTATAAACCAGATATTTGCTTGGATCTACTTCAGCGCAACCCAAAGTTGATTGTTGCTCCAAACAAAGAATTGCCGGAATTTTCTTCTATTTCTATAATGTCACGTCAACCTAAAGCATTCTTGAGTGGATGTAAGCTTCGGTTTTGGCAAAAGTGGATTTATCGTTGTAAGTATGGATTCCCTTTAATTTCATATTTTAATCTTCAAATTTTATTGTTTTTTGGCTATATATATTGATTAAATCAATCAATTTGCGGTATATATATTGAAGTGTTAAAGGTAGAGTTACCCCCAATTTCCTTCGATGAAGTACGAATTCCTGTTACGAACGAGAGCCCAGAGGAAAGAACATCGGAAAACGAGGTATTTGAATGTATCCAAATTAATTACACTATAACATGATTTCATTGCAAAAAAAAAAAAAAAACCTTTAAAGTTAGATCTACTATTAATAAATATTATATTGTCAGATACTTTCAAGGTTTTGAGTCTTAGATTATTATTTAAGAAAAATTAATTTTTTTAAATATACTAATGTAATATAAAAGTGTATTCTTAAAATTTTTTGAGAAGGATTAAGCTTTGTTTATGAGTGTTGGATTATAATGATAATTAATGACCATATGTTTT